GAGGGCTCTCGGGCCCTGCACGAGGTGGGACCCAGGCCTTCCTGGGACCCTAGTATCTCCGCGCTGTGACAGAACGGGTGTGGGGACTGACCCCTGCTTGGTGTGGTTGGGGTCCTTCTGGAAGTCTCCTGGCTGTGCCTCGGGCCTTGGTGATCACCCTGGGGTTAATTGGCAGCATCCGTTAACCCTTCTCCTGCTGTGTGTGACTCAGTGGTGTTTGGGGCTTGGCCGCTGGATTTTTGAGCCTTTGTTCCTTCCCTCGATTATTCATTCTACAAACGTTTATGTAGCCTGGCTCTGGGACAGGAAGTTGGCAAGAGTTTGCTCAGCGAGCTCCCAGTCTGAGCACCAGGCCTTGAAGACAGAGTTTCCCAGGTGCGAACAGTAAGGAGGAAGGGCAGAGGGAGGGCGCAGAGTCCGACCCCCCAGCTCGTTGGTGAATCAGGGTGGACCTCGACAGCCCTCTCCAGTCTGCTGGACTCTGAGCCACTGGACGAGGGCCGTGCATCGCAACGCAACACGCACACGGTGTGTGCACACACACGCAAATGCCCACACACATTCATAATGCACATCTGCATGCTCTACACACACACAGACCGCATGTGCACACATACACATGCCCACAGGGTGTGCACCTACACATGCATGTACACACGCACACACAAATATACACGTTCACGTGTGTGCACATATGCATACTCACACACAGGTACACACATGCACATATGTGTACACACCCACAGACGTGCACATACAAATGCATGTGTTCTCATGAACATTCACACGAGCACACGCACACACACCCAGGTTCTCCCTAGCATCTGAGCGGTTGGGGACAGGGGACAAATAGAGACTTGCGCCTGTTCTCGTCTCTTCTTCCCTGGTGACTGGGTCCTTCGTCACACAGGGCCTCACTCACGTGGACACCCAGCCTGCTCGCCAGACCTCTGGCCACACTGCCCTCCAGCCACCCTTCAGGATGGGCTCTCCAGCAGCACAGCCCCCTTGAAAGGACAGGCTGGAGGGAGGCCCGCATGCTCTGGATGGGGACTCGGGCTCACAGCAGGGAGACCAGGCCCTGGAAGTGGGCCTGGCCGAGAGCAGCTGTGGGGTGTGGCCCAAGCCCCACAGACTCCTTGTCCTCAGGGACACCTGGGGGAGGCCCAGAGCTGGGAGGGCCTCTGAGTACAGGGCCTGGGGGGGGGGTCCTAGGTGCCGAGGTGACACTGACGTACACCCCATACCTGAAACAGAAGTTTCACCAGATGATCCGTTACCATCATCGGTTGCAGCAGCCAAGCAGGTGTTTCGTGAGGTCACAGCTGGGCATCTGTGCCCCCAGGTGACCTGGGCCTCACCCAGCGGGCCATTGTGAGCGGGGTAAATGCCACATGTGGTCACGTGGGTCCCCTTGCGCCCGCTCACCTCTCCTGGAGCACCCCTCTCTCACCAAAGGGACAAAGCCGGCTCTGGTGTCATCCCCTCCCGGAGCCGGGGCTGCAGCCACGGGGTGATTCTTCTGCTATTTTACGTGATTGTGACTGATTTCCACCCGACGGATTGTTCCAGGTCAACCTGGGTATCAATGCCAAGCTCGCCGGCCTGGCATCTCCATCTCAGGATGTCTTTTCCTCCTCCTTCCTCCACACATGTCCCCCCGGCCCAGGGTCTGCTCGCATCCCCCGTGGTTTCTCTGAGCAGACGCGGCAGAGCTGACGGGCCTGGTGAGACTCCCCTAGTGCTGCGCCAGTTCTAGAAGCTCCCACCCCATTCCTCACGTTACTCTCCCCTTTCCACTCGGGCAGGACTCGCCCGTCAGTTATGCCCTCAGGTCTTTGCAGGGAGACAATAAGCACTCTTCTCAGTGTGCCCTCCATGATGAGAGTCCCGTCCCTGGATATATGTGTGTGTGGTGTGGTGTGTGTGAGAGAGAGAGAGGAAAAACCAGAGGTTCTTTCTAATCTTTCCCTTTATTCTTTTTTTAAAGATTAAACGTAAAAATCCTCTGCTGGTCAGATTCTCAGCTTCTTGCACTGTGTCTTTACACGTGAGATGGTGTTGGGGGTTTTATTGTCGATGACTTTCTGGTTTGCTTGTGGACCCAGAGTGAGCGGGCATGCTCTTGTTCATCTTCCTCCAACCCGAAATGGCAGCAGCGGGAGGCTGGAACGTTCCCCGTCCTGCTCGCTGCCGAGTCCCCAGCGCATAGAGCAGGCCTGGCACCGGGCAGGGGCCCAATGTATTTTTAAATGAATTACTATACCTGTTTTGCCCTTCCACCCCACACCGCTCCCCGTGCACACACACACACACACACTCCTACCCAGCACGGCTCTGCATTCAGGCTGGGGCTCTCAGAAGTCACGGTGAATTCTTGGTTTCAGTAGGTAAGAGTGTAGCCACAGTGGAAATCGCTTGTGCAGGTCATTTAAGATCAACGTAAGTGTGTGGGCCCGGCCCCTGGTGCAGTCGCTGTGTGTCCAGTTCGGATTGGGGGAGCAGCAGGGTGCCTGCCGTGTGTCTGCAGGTGAGGGCTCGGCCTTGCTGGTGCTCGGGGGTGGCTCTGCAGGAGGGTGACCGGCTCCCCTCCCAGCTCTGCCCCATCGACCCTCCAGGCGGGTTACACACCCTCTCTAGGCCTCCAGACGCATTTCCTCGCCTGGAAAATGGGGGCGGTAGTGACAGTGTCTACCTCATGGGTTGTGGAGAGGATTAAGTGGATTAAAATATGTGGAAAGTACTTAAAGCAGTGCGGAGCACAGAGCAAACGCTAGCCATTATATTTGTTATTATTTTATCGCCATTATATTTATGATTCTTTCATATGAGGAGCTGCAACCCGCCGGCTGCTGACACGGGCTTGTCCGCTGTGCGCCAGGACATGCGGGGTCTCTCCCAGATTTCTGGGACCTCTGTGATGAACGTGGTTTAACGTGTGAGTTTCGGCTCGGCGGCCGGCCTTAGGCCGCAGGGCCTCGCGGTGCTGGAAGGCGGCTGGGGCGCTAACCTGGCTTGCTGAGGGTCCCCCAGCCTCTGCCCCCCGGGCCTCCGGAACGCCCAGGATGCACCAGTGCTCCCCTGTGGTGGAGGCAAGAAGGACTGTGGCGCTGTCCTGCTGGCTGTCCCTCTGCGGGGGGCAGGTGAGCGGGCACGGTTGTCTGCAGGCCCAGGCCAGCCTCCAGCCTGTCCCCGCCATCTCCCGCCACCGCGGGGCCGGCCGAGCCGCAACCCAGCAGATGTGACTCCCGCGAGGCTGTTTGCTGTGGCTGTCATCGTGTTTCCATGATCCTGTGACAGAAACCCTGCCCCGGTGTTAATTTACATTATAGCCAGGGCACCCCGACGTGTGTTTTTAAAGGGTATAATTTCTATCAACTTCAATTAGAGCTATTTTTATTTTTGTCACCCTGAAGAATTTCCCTGCGGTTAAGCTGCCATTTTTCACTGTAATACCCCTGGCAAGGGCTGAGGAGAAAAATTAATAGTCTCGTGATCACTCAGCTAATGCACTGTCACCGCGTGATAAACTGACTGCCCTGGGTGAGACGGCCCTGAGTGAGACGGCGCAGTTCTTTCCACAGTAATTATGTCATGTCCACCTGCAGTGGGCAAGGCCCCTCTGGGGGGGGCGTGGGGTGGAGCTGAGCCCCCACAGAGCCCAGGGCAGGGGCCCCCCCTCACCCTCTCCTCAGAATGTGTCTTGGCGGTAATTTAGGCACATCAAGCTGGGCGTCTGCCCATCTTCAGGCTGTGTGGCATTTGACAGGTTACTAAACATCTCTGATCCACATTTGAACAGGGAGAATGCCATAAAGGTTACTGTTAATAAGCCACCTGACCTCCCCAGCTCGGGGCATCCAAGGAGGCGATCCTGGAAGGCAGGTGGTGGGGGGAGTATCGTGCCTGGTAAACGGGGGCATCAATTCATGATTGGGGGCGTGCGGGCCCTGAATGAGGAGCTAGCGGGTAAAGCCAGTCTCCGACTCTGAAGACAAGAGGAAGGAGCAGGGACAGGGCTGTGGTGGGATGTGAGCCTGGGGTGGGGGCGCAGGGAGCAGTGAACCTGCGGGGAGACTGGCTTCCCTCCACCTAACTCAGGCTATCGGGCCACTGAGCGGTGGCACAGCCACGCCATGGGCCGCTACCCACAATAAAAAGGAACGCACTCCCGATGCGCCCAGCAGCCTGGGCGAGTCTCCAGGGAGCTGTGCTGAGTGGAAATGGCCGGTCCCGCAGGCTTGCGCACTGCGTGGTTGCATTTACATCATGTGCTGGGAATGACTGAACTGCAGGGACTGAGCGCAGGTTGGCGGTCCCCAGGGCTGGGGTTGGGGCTGTGCTTATCAGAGGGCGCCATGGGCGATGCCTGTGATGGAACTGTCCTCTGTCTCCACCGTGGCACTGGGGACGGGGACCTCCCCAGGGATGACACTGCGCAGGAGGAAACACACGTAGTAGGACAGGTCACACCGGAGAATCTGCCTAAGACAGGTGTCGTCAGCGCCAATGTCCTGCTTGTGACACGGTGGTCTAGTCTGTAGGATGTTACCACGGCGGGGAGCTGAGGAAAGGTGCTCGGGATCTCTCTGTATTCTCTCACACCTGCTCATGAATCTATAAGCATCTCCACATAAAAAGTTAAAAATTAAACAAAAATCAGATCATATCTCTCCTTGGCTCAGAACCCTCCTGAGCTCCCATCTCACTCCTAATGAGAGCCAGAGTCCTTACAGGGGCCCACGAGGCCCTCCAAAATGCAACCCCATTGCTTCCCTTGATCCTCTCCAGCCACATGGGCCCCCTTGCTGTTCCTCAAACACACTAGGCACACTCCTGCCTCAGGACTTTTGCATGGGCTGTTCGCTACGCCTGAAACACTGTTCCCCCAGACCCCCACATGGATCCTTCCCTAGCTCAGCTGTCTCCTGCATCTGCTGTGTTGGGGACACCGTGCCAGGGCCTGGGGATAGAGTGCTGTCCGGGGAGGGGGTGACAGTCTGGGGGAGGGCAGAAGTGTAACTCCTGAATCTGGGCACTAGGATGAGGGCACTATTGGAGGTGGGCTGGGGGCGCATCCAGCTCTGCCTGGGGAGGGGAGCTGGGAACAGTGTCCAGGGGAGGGAGGCAGACCCTGGGCTGAGGAGGAGGCAGAGGGCATTGTGGGGTGGGAGGGGGACTCATGGGCATTGACAGTGGCTCATGAGCAGACCCCCACATGGCTTCCACCCAGAACCCTGAACTGAGCCTTGGCCCTGCCTGGGGAGCCTCCACCATTTTACAGACTGGAAGCCAAGGCTCAGAAAGGTAGAGTCACTTGCCTGAGGGCACACAGCCCGGAGGCGGTAGAGCTGGGGTCTGAACCAGGCAGGGTGGTTTCTGTGTCTGCCCTCAGCCCCTGCAGGACGCCTGGAGGGGAGAACGGAAGGGGGACAGACCCACAAGTGGGCACGACGTGTCCTTCTGCAGTCCCTCAGCGGCCCCATCATCTCCTGTTTCTCCCAGACAGTTTTTGTACTGTCCAGGAACTGGGAATGACTTTTACGTTATTAAATGTTTGCAAATGTATTCATTTACACGTTGTCTAAGGCCACTTTAGTGCCACAATGCCAAAGTTGAGTAGCTTCAACAGAGACCATTTGATCCACAAAGCCAAAAATACTTATTATCTGGCCTTTTCACAAAAGGTTTGCAGACATGCCCCTGCCTCAGGGCTGTTGTGCCTGCTGTTCCCTCTGCCTGGAACACCCTTCCCCCAGATCTCCATCTCCTTGGTGAGCTCCCTCATTTCCTTCAAGTCTTTGCACGAATGTCCCCTTCTCCACGGGGAGAGCTTGTGGAAAATTCTAACTCCACACACCCGCCCCTCCCTATCCACTTCTCCTACTTGTCTTTTTGGTTCTTCCCACCAACTCACATGTGAATCTGTATTTATTGACTGTCTCCCCGGCTGGCGTGTCTGCCCTTCACAGCAGGAATGTTTAACTGTTTTGTTTGCTGCCGTATCGCAGGCACGGTGCCTGGCACACAGTAGGTGCTTTAGAAATGTTTATGGGAAAGATGGACAGACAGACGGACGCGTGGATGGGCAGATGGACAGGTGGACGGGTGGGTGGGTAGGTGGGCGGATGGATGTGAATAGCCAGGCTGGGCCCCCTCGTGTGCCACGTGGAGGTGTGGGAAGTTTGGTGAAGGATCTTACGTGGGGGGTCGGTGGGAGGAGTGTGGTATCCTCCCAGCCTCGCTGGGGCCCCACCCTTCCCGGCCACACCTTCCCCGTCCAGGTGTGTCTCCGCGGCTCTGAGTGCTGTTAGCAGCAGACCCTGCTTTCCAGTCAGGCTCTCAGAGACGTCGTGCCCCACTGCCCATCCCACACGGTGGGCCAGACACTACAGATGTTACCCTTTCTGTCCTCAGTTGCCCCTTCTGTATAATGGGGCCAAACAGTTCCTGCCCCCAGGGCTGCTGAGGCCCAACGGGCGGACACCTGCGAAGACTGGCACGGGGCCTGGCTCTTCGTAGGCGCTATCGCCCTGTAGCTGTGACCAGCGAAAGCCGTTTTCACCCCAAGCCTCCTGCTTTAGGATCGTGACCCATGACCCTTCCTCTCGGCCCTTCAGGGACAGACAGTGGCTCCTGGCTTGGAGGTAACCCCAGTTTCAGCTGAACCCAGAGATTCTTCTGCCTCGGCAGCTCCCAGGCCTTGATCCGGGCACTCGCTGGTTCTCTGTGGCGGGTGGGGCTGCACCGCCTGTCCTTCTAGTCTTAACAGATGCGTTCACCGGCTTCCTGTGTGTCAGGCCCGTGCTAGGCTTCAGGAACCCTGACTCGGGCATCCTCATGACCGCCCCTTGCGGTGGGGTGACCCTCAGCGTCCCCCTTATTCATATGAGGAAGCTGAGGCTCAGAGGCGTTAAAGAGCATGCCCAAGGTCACCCAGCTGGGCACCCGGCGGTCGCTCCCGCCCAAGCCTGTGCTCTTTCTCGGCCACGTGACTGCCTCTGGCCCTTTTCCCCACTGGGCTTGGCTGCCCTCCTGGGAAACACCAGTGTCTTCCTCTTGCCCAGACACCCATGGGGAGGTGCCCTGCACCTACTGGAATGGGAGCCAGGCTGGGTGATCTCTGTCCACTTCGTGTCCCCTTGGCCTCAGTTTCTCCATCTGTAAAATGGATTTGCAGAACCATTGCAAACTCCAGGAGGTGGTTCTGTGCACACTTTGCAGATTGCCCAGGCGGAATGTCATGACTGTTTGTGTCCCCTTGGTGGCTGCAGTGAGTCATCACCTGGCTGGACTTGAAGCCAAGAACAAAACCTTCTTTTTATTTTTCCAAGTCCTGGACTGTGTGTTCACTCAGGCTTCTATTGTCCTCAAGGCTGGATGGGCCTGGGGCCTCCCTCCCTTCCTCCAGCCCCTGAGAGGTGGGTGCACCTGGGGGACTCTGGTGGAAAACAGTGGGATCAAGACCCCCGCCGGACACGGCTCCTCTGCTGGAGCGGCAACGCCCCCCCGGTGCTGCAGCCGGAGCGCCCCTAATTGCTGTCACAGATGTGCAGCCAGCAGCCTCTCCCACACGATCTGCGGTGTCGCGTGAGCTTAATTAGTCCCTGATTACTCATTTACTGGGTGCTGTGTGTATTCCATATCTAATAACTTTCCAATTACGCCCAGGCCATGCCGCACATTTAATAACCCTTGGTTGTCTGCTTCTCGGGGCCTCCACGTTCGGCAGCTCCATCTCCCCCGACCCCGAGCCTGATCATTCCCTTTATTGCAGGATTCGGAGTCTCTGCCTGCCATTACGGAGCTATTACAGTGAATTAAGGGGCGTAAAATACTGTTTTTCGGCCTCTGATGCACCAGCTTGCTGCACAGAACAAGAAATCCCACCAGAGAGGGTCGAGCACGATGTCTTTGTGAGTGGGCTCCCGGGGGGGCCACGGCGGCCCAGGAAAGGGGGAGGGGGACCCTGTGGCTGAGCTGGCCCCTTCCCCTTATTTCCCTCCTGAGCAGATGGCACAGTCCTGTGACCCGCAGGGCCCCCCGGCAGGTGGCAGACAGAGGTGTCCAGCTGGCCCAGGAGGTGCCCCTCGGCCATGCCCAGCCAGCCTCCCGGCCAAGGCGTGCACTGGGCCGGCTGTCTGGGACCAGGCAGCTCTTCTCCCCACATTTGGCTTCCTGCCTCCGCCTGATTTTTCCTTGGGGCAAAGGGAAGGCGACGCTGCATCCCCTGTGCTGGCTCTCCTCTTCCCCTCCTGCAGTTCTGCTCCGTGTCTTGTCCTCCCCACCTTGCTCTTGGGATAAATCAGTCACAGCCCATCCACAAACCCACTGCCCTTTACCCGCAGCGTAAACCTGTGTGCCAGAGACCGCAGCCCAGGGTGCCGTGTGGCTGCGGAGGCAGTGGGTATGGGCATTAGGCCGTGCTGACATTCAGTGAGCGCCTACTTTGTGCCAGGCACTGTGGGGTCTGGGTACTCGACAGAGAACACAGCACTGGCCTGGATTTTCGGCTCCGACTCTGACCTCTGGGTGACCTTGGCAGCTGACTTGACTTCTCTGTGCCTCAGTTTCCTCCTCTACAAAGTGGGAGTTAAGGTAGGGCTGTTGGGAGGATTAAATGGGCTACTGCCGTTAGGCACTCGGTGGGCACCCAGCATGTGGCAGGTGCCCAGTGAATCCAGGGCTGGCATTACTAGCCTGTTTCCCAGAGGCGTAAAAACTGAGGTCAGAGCAGTCGTGACTTGCCTGAGCGTCCTGGTATGCCAGCAGTGAAGCGGCAACTGGGACTGAGTCCCACGTCTGCTTTATTCAGGATTGGCACAGCTGGTTTCTTGGAGCACATCTCGAGCTGACTTGGAAGAAAGAGAAGATTCAGGTTGATCAGGAAAAGCGGGGGAGCCCATGCCCGGATCCTGCCCCCATAACTTCAGGGACCCCTGGACGGCCTTGGGGCTCCAGCCAACAGCAGGCGAGGGGGCCTAGGAGGCCCAGAGTCCAGGGGGGCCCCCCAAGGCCAAGGCCGTGAAGGCTCCCCCAACGCACACACCTCTGGGCTTTGTGGGGCCCCCAGCCACTGCACTCCTTGGCTCTCGTTCCTGATGCTTCTGCCATGAGGTCATGAGATCAGCTGCCACTTCTTGAGCAACGACTATGTGCCAAGTTCTTTAGCAGAAGTAACTCATCTGATTCCCTCCACTGTCCCTCTGGGAGGTGGGCACTCACTATGTTATCACTCCCACTGTGCGTAAGGGGAAACTGAGGCCTGGAGACGTTAAGTCACTTTGCTGAGATCTCCCAGCTGGGAGAGTGGCCAGGACCTGGTGCCCGGCTGCAAGGAGACTGAGACTGGACTCTGGCCGGGTCCCAGGAGACAGGGAAATGGGCTCCGGGAACAGCCACCAGTCCCCGCAGAGGCCACCACAGAGAAAAGTCCTGGTGTCTCGTCCAGTGGCCTCTAGGCTGCTGTGGGCCCTCAAACGGGAACTTCCCTTGTTCTTAAAATACATGATTTACACGCTACAACATGGATGAGCCTGGGAAGCGTTCTGCTCAGTGAAAGAAGCCAGACACAAAGGGGCACATGTTGTAGGATTCCATCTATAGGAAATGTCCAGAACAGGCAAATCCGTAGAGACAGAAAGTAGATTGTGGTTGCCAAGGGCTGGGGGTGGGGGAATGGAGAGTGACTGCTAATGGGTCCCGGGGTTTCTTCTTGGGGTGATGGAGTGTTCTAAAATGGATTCTGGTAATGGTTACACAACTCTATGAATACATTAAAAGCCCTTGAATTGTACAGTTTAAATGGGTAAGTTGTATAGTATGTGAATTATATCTCAATAAAACTGTTTTAAAAAACAATAGAGCAGGGCTTCCGTTCCCTGGAGAAAGGAGGACGTGGCACTGTCTCATTAGGATATTCAGTGGTGGCTGCAAATCCCCTTTATGTTCAAGAACTCCGGAAAGTCCCCCTTTTTGCCTTTCCCCATTAACTGACTAACGCTTTCAAGGTGGTGGCCTGGGTCCAGGGAAATAAAGGGGACAATAGCGTCTGCCCCGCTGGCTCGGTCTGCGGGAGTCCCACGGACTGCTGCTCTGAGATGCTGCCCATTTCTAGGGTCCCCGGGGGTGGGGGTGGAAAATGCACATCCCAGGCCCAGTCATAATAGTACTTTAAATTAAGACAGACCCTGAGCTCGGGACTCGTGGCTCTGGTAGAGAGAAGGCACAATGAGAATGTGGGTTCAAGGCCTGCTTCTTATTAGTCAGGAATTGTCATAAATCTGGCTTTGAAGGGTGAGGAGGGGCGGCTCTTTGCCTCCGTTTGATGGTGTGGTGGAGAATGCTGGCCTCCACCTGAGATGACCCATCCTCACAGCACCACATGTGTCTGGCCACCTCGCCCGTCCTTCAGCACTGACTGAGCACCCCCTGGGAGTCCTGGGCACTGCTGACGAGCGCCGGAGAAAGGGGGTGAAATCCTTTTACTTCCAACGAGAGTCAAAGTGGTGGGAAGAGCTGGAGCAGAGGAGGGACCAGCATCCAGTCCCCTCGTGTTTCTGGCACAAGACGGTGCCAGGGAACATTATATCTGGGCTGGGTTCTCTAGAGCTTTTTGGGTTGTATTAGTTATCTGCTGCTGCGTAACAAATGACTACAGATTTAGCAGCTTACAGCACATCTGTCACCACCCAGCTCTGCTGGCCTCTGCTCAGGGTCTCATGGGCTGCAGGTCAAGCAAGTCGGCCAGGCTGCGCTCTCACCTGGCGACTCGACTGGGGAAGGACCCGCCTCCAAGTTCATTTGGGTTGTTGGCAGAGTTTATCTGTTGGGACTGAGGGCTGCTGTGAACATTCGTCACAAGTCTTTGTGTGGGCATGTTTTCGGTTCTCCCGCCTGTCTACTGAGGAGTAGACTTGCTGGGTCGTGTGATAACCGTGTGTTTGACCTTCTGAGGAACTGCCAGGCCCTTCTCCAGAGCAGCCGCCCCAGTTTACGATCGACCAGCAGTGTGTGTGGGGGGCTCACACAGGGTCTTAACATGTTTCAGATTAGTTAGCAACACCTAATAATCAGGGAAGTGCAGCTTTTAAAAATGGATTCCCAGCTTCCGCTTGAGAAACCAGATCTGGCAAGATGGGGCTTGAGTCCCTCTGTGTGACCACAGCCAAGTCTTCTCCCAGCACCTGGGGTTCAAATCCCGATACCACCAATCACTGAGGGGGCTCAGACAGACCACTGTCTCTGTGACTCCGTGTCCTTGTGCACAGAGGGCCGTGGGGAGGAGGAGCAGGGCCTGGCTCTCCCCTCTCTCCGCGCCACCGCCTGTGGGGTTTGCGTAGTGATGCCGCCTGCTGTGACAGGTGCTACCCCGTAGACAGGCCCCCAGGCTGGCTGGACAGGTCATCCTGTGACTAGTGGTGGACACAGCAGCCCTGCACCTGGCAGTTTCCGAGATGATTAGGTAGTGAGAACAGCTAAAACCCGGCAGGGTGGGAACCACATCCACGCAGGGCTCCAGGGTCCCTGCCATGCTGATGGCCCCTCCCCCCCAGCCCTGATTGAGCGAGTGAATGAATGAATGAATGAATGAAGTGTGCTTGGACGAGGTGCCGCCTCCTCCTAGCTCCAGCCTCAGCCACCAGCAGGCCTTTGGGATTTGCAGGGGCTGTGGTCTGGGCAGTGTCACCATATGGATCCCATAAATTAAAGCCTTTCTAGAAACAAACGGTAAGTTTATCCGCCTGGCGGAGTAGGTCTTTGGAGCCCGCGCTTGCCCAGGGAGTGGTGAGCCATCCGTCTCTCTCAGGCACTTCCGTTTTATAGCACAAATCCCTAAACAAACTGGATCAATGTGAAGTTGCTTTTTGACAGCCATGCCGCCCCTGGGGCTCGTAATCGGGAAGTGGGGGGTCGCCAGTCCCCAGGACCGGCCCCCGGGTAGCAGCCATTGATTAGGCCCTGAAGCCCACATGGGGGCTCAGCTCACCTCCTCACCCGCTCACGGGGCCCTGGCCTCCCGCCCAGGCCTCCCAGGTTGGAGGTGGGAGCCCAGGACCTGAGGCCCTGCTGACCCCACCTTGGCGTCTAGTAGCTCTGTGACCTTGCCCCTCTCTGAGCCTCAGTTTCCCCAGATCTGGGAAGGGGATGGGGCGACCGGAATAGTCAATGTCATAGAGACAGAAAGTAGAATGGTGGTGCCCAGGGCCTGCAGGCAGGGGGGACAAGGAGATAGTGTTTAATGGCTATAGAGTTTCCATTTGGGATAAAGAGAAAGTTCTGGAAATAAATCTGAGGTGATGGTTGCCCAAAATTGTGAATGGGCTTAATGCCACTGAGTTGTACACTTAAAAATGGTCAAGATGGTAAATTTTATGTTATGTGTATTTTACCACAATTTAAACAATAAACAAAGGGGTGGAGGGGGCGTGACCTACCCTGCAAGGTGAACTGAGGAGCAGCTAGATTAATCGTTATACTAACTAGTCGGGAGTTATTACCAACTTCTGTGCAGAGCTGAGGGGGCTCTCGGGTGATGGGGCCAGCGGGGGGAGCTCAGCGCCCAGTCTGCCGTCCCGGGCGGGGTTTGCCTGGCGAGGAAGACACTCACACTGGCTCTGCCGCTGCCCTGCGCCAGCCAGGCCGAGTCCCCAGTCGAAGACCCAGGCCATCGCAGGGGAGGAACAGTGCCCAGAGGCCCAGGGGGCCCACCCATTGGGCAGCTCCGGATGGGCATGACCAAGGCTTACCATGTCCCCCTCCTCTCCTTCCAGGTCACCTCTGCATCTCTCGAGGCATCGACAGTCGGCCACCCTCCTGCCCGGGAGCCAGAGTCCCAGCCACGCCCCCCAGCAGAGAGCCTGCCCAGGGGCCCCAGGACTGCCCAGGAGCTGGGGCCAGCGCGTTGTCAGCAGAGCAGCCTGGACGGGGCTGGACCAGACCTCACGGGCACAGGTAGACGCCAGCTCTTTCATATCTCTGGGTACCAGGGTGGACTGTGCCAGCCCCAGCAGGCAGGGGCCCCAAAGCCAGTTCAGGAGCAGAGTTGCACCCCACTGTCACCTCATTCTGGGGGAGAGCCTGCAGGCTGAGGCTCCCAGTCTGGGATTTGGATGTTTTTTTCATGCTCCTTGGGGGTTAAATCAAATTGTGGTTTAATCAGAATCCCTGTTCTCGACACCTCTCACCCTTGATTCACAGACGGCCTTTGCTGTGTTTATTTCTCTCTTGGTCCCACTGTATTCACTCGTTCGTTTAAGAAATCATGTAGTGCATACCCGTGAACCACTGCAGCCCAAGCGCTCGGTCTGTGCGCCTGCCCTGACGCCCCGCGCCCCCCGGACGGAAGCCCCATCTCGCATCTTGCGTTGGCTTGCGTGTTGCGGCTGTGTTTGCCTGAGCACGCTCAGCCTGTTTTCCTGGTGGTGAACTTGTGTCCCAGCCTGGCCCCTCACTCAGCCTCGCAGGCTCCGTCTGTGCTGTCGCAAGCTGCCCGGCGCCGTCTCACTGCTGGGTGCCGGTCTGTCACGGCTCCGCCGGGTGTGGGCCGACTCCCACCCTGGCGCGGGGACGGTTTCTGGGGTTTTCAGTTGTGAAGGCACCGCGTCCCGGCACCTGTCTCTCTCAGGTGTTACTCTCGGCTGGGAGAAGGTGCTGCCCGCTGTTAACCGGCGTGGGTGTCTCACCCCGCCCCCCCCAGCCATGGAGACCCTGCCGCCTGTCTTGGCACCGTCAGACGGCCTCAGTTTCCCCGACGACGCAGAGGCTGGCTCCTCCTTGGCTGGCAGGCCTGTGGTCCTGGAGCAGCCCTTTAGGCTGTGTTTCTGTTAGCGAGACCCCTCAGAGTGGGTCCCTGTGTGTCCTGCCCCGTCGCTGCCCCCTGAGAAGACTGAGTCCCGAGACCCTCAGCCCTGCCCTGCCTGTGCCAGCCCCCTGTGTGGGCAGCTGGCTGAAGGCACTGCTGGTCAGCAAGAGGAACAGAGCCAGAAGGAGACAGGCTGGGGTTAGGTGCAGCTGGCCCGCCCCACCCTCAGGTTCTGGGCTTCCATCTGGGCATCCATCTCCAGGACAACCCCCATGCCACCTCTTTCTCTCGGTGATGTGGACTCGGCCAGCAGAGGGGCTGGGCCTCGGGCTGGGGATGGATCCGGCCGACCAGGGGCTCATGGGCCATGTGGCCCTCTGAGGGGCTTCCAGATCCTGACACATGGGGATGGGGTGGTCAGGCAGCAAAGGGGGTCATGTGGGTGGTGGACAGGGATGCTTTTTGGGGAGCCATTCTCTCAAGCCCCTCAGCACACTCAGAGCCTTGAACAAGTGTCTTTTCCTGCTCCGTGCCTCAGTTTCCTCATCTGAGAAATGGGAATGAAGGCTAATGGGAGTGCCTGGCTCACAGGGCAGGCATGAGAGTTACATTAACCAGGACATACGAGCATTCAGTGCAGGTCCTGGCACCCTGAGCCCTCATAAGTGCTGGCTGTGTCAGCGTTATGATTATTTGTAATTCCTAGTCACCCAGCTGGCGCCTCCTCCAGGCAGCATGGAGCATCTCCGAGGCTGTTCTGACCCACCTCTTCCACCCCAGCTGCCCTTCTGCTCTGGGTAATATCCTGCAGAACCGTGACCCTTGGGCTGGCACACGCGAGGCCTGGCCCCCTGCCCTGGGGCCGCCTGGGGCAGGGCAGGGCACAAGGCCCTCGCCTGCCAGCTGCTCCCATCAGGCTGCGGCCCAGGTTGGGGTGTGGGGGGTTGCAGCTTCGCAGCCGGAGTCCCGCCAGGAGCGCCATCCCGCCATCAGGCCCTGCCTGGAGAGGCTGCTGCTGCTGCTCGGAAACGTGACAGTGACTAATGGTTTATTACACACCTGCCACCTCTCATCGGGCTGGCGGCCCAGCCCCCAGGGCCAGCTGTGCACTGCCAACTGGACGGCGGGGCGGGCGCAGGGGGCCAGCATGTCCAGACACATGGACGCACACAGGCACGGGGACATGCAGAGACAGACACAGACTTGGCAAATGGACCACACACAAGGGTACACATACAGGCACACACACACACACAGACACACATGCATACAGCCCTGTTGCTCCCTCTCTCCCGAGCTGGGAACCCCTCTGTGTCTCGCTGTCTTTCCCCACTCCCTGCAATGGTGGCTTTCGCCCCGGTGCTGACTGGGGAGGGTCCTTTCCCAGAAGGGCGGGGCAGCCGTGGGCAGGTGGGGGTGCATCCACCACCTTGGGGGTAACTACCCATCAAGTCCATTTCTGACCCCGGTTCCCTGCCTTTGTCTCGTGCGTGGGGACGGCAGCGTTTGCTGGGGGAGGGAAGCCGTCACATCAGGAGCCCTTGTGGCCAGCCGGGTGGCCGGGCGGAGTCCCCCCAGGCACACTCACGGCCAACAGCTGCTTCGGTCTCTCCCAGAGGCGGAGGTGCGTGGCTCTCGGGCGCAGCGTCCAGAGTGCCCGCCTGGCACGTAGTCACTTGCTGGCTGCAGGGAGGATAGCTTCAGGGCTGCGGGGAACTGGGGACCCTCGGGGCTGGGATTCCTCACAGGCAGGGCACAAACCACGGACTGAGCAGAAGTTTCCAGCTGGTGGGAGAAGGCACACTGGAAACCTCACCATGAGGCGGCCTTCCCTTGTAGCGGGGCGAGCCCCTGGGTCGGCTCTTTCCAATATTCTTAAGTCTTTAGTCAAAGGAAGACCCGTTTCTCATGTGCCACTCGCATGCGGTCTGAAACCCAGTGCGAGGACACTGCTAATTCATCACCTGACGATGGGAATGGGCTTTCCTGGGACAATTATCTGTGTGCCATCCGCAGCCTCCTTGGGAGAGAAGCGGCACCATCTGGTGATAAGCGAGGGAGTGGCTTGATCCAGAGACCTGGGGCTGAGTTTCCAAATCTCAGTGCTGTCAATTTCCAGCCATGGAGCCTTTGCAAGGTTCAGAATCTTCCCAAAGCTTAGCTTCTCCAGCTACCAAATAGGCGTGGTGAAAATGAAATCTTCCTTGTAGTGCAGTATCCGTGATGTAGGATGAACACTAATGAGGCACCCAGGGCTGCCAAGCAAGGCTGTGCAGGTTTTGCACATTGCCCAACTCCAGGGGGCGCCATTCTCATTGTGGTCTCTGTGAATATGCTCCCTGCATGGCCATCAGGGCTGCCATGTTGCACAGCTGAGTGGTGGCCCTGTAGTTGTGCCACGTGAGCCCTGGATGTCCTTGTTGAGCTGTGGAATGGCTTCTAAAGTGGTTGATAATACCTTTATTAATAGAGATGGTGGAAGCTACAGACCCCACTGATGGGGTTGGGGTGGGGTCACAGAAAACCAGGCCGAGATTGACTCTCCAGTCACAGCCTGCGGCTCCTCCCTCTCACCTGCCATGTTGGGGTGCTGGGGTCGGCCACCCCTGTTGGAGGTGGTTCGTGGGTTCCTTCTGTCCCAACAGCCGCTGCTCTACTCCCACTCAGAAAGTCTCCGTTCTCGTGAGTACTTACTCCGGGCTTTTGGGGGCCCCTGGTCCAACGAGGCAGGGGAGAGGAGAAAGGGCTGGCAGGGCAGGGGAGGAGCCGTGGGGAGTTGACACAGTGCGTCTCCCATCTCACTGACCTCTGGGCTCCCCTCACCCCCCTGTCAACCACCGAGGCAGTGGCTCACTGTGGGAGGGGTCTGTGTGAGCTCCTGCCGCTGCGGTAGCAGATCACCACCAACTTGGTGGCTTAAAGCAACACACATCTCGTATCTGATAGTTCTGAGCCAGAAGTCCGACACGGGTCCCCCTGGGCTAAAATCCAGGTGTCAGCAGGGCTGCGTTCCCTCTGGAGGTGCCGGGGGAGCATCCATTCCCGGCCTTTTCCGGCTTCTGGAGGCGGCTCACATTCCTCGGCTCCTGGCCACTTCCTCCGTCTTCAGAGCCAGCAATGCTGCATCCCTCCGCCTCTGCGCCTGTAGTTGCATCTCTGCCTCTTCTGCCTCCCTCTTCCACCTGTGAGGACTTTGTGATCACGTGGCCCACCTGGGCGTCCAGCTGCTCTCTCATCTCAAGGGCAGCTGACTGGCAACCTCAGTTCCCTTTGCCATGCCAGGCGGCGTGTTCGCAGGTTCCGGGGAGCAGGATGTGGACGTCTTTCAGGGCCGTTATTCTGCCGACCACCGTCCCTTCAGGAATCTGTTGCATTGTCAGGGCAGGCACTGGCGGGGCTGTAACGGACCACCCCGAGCCCGCCGTGCCTCCTGGGTGGGTGACACAGGGTCCCAGGTTCCCTTCAGCCTGTGGCTCTGCCATCTCATGGCCTCCAGAGTGCCCTGATCCCACCAGCAGCCAACATGAGGACAAGAACACAGGAAAGCCGCTGGACGCTCACTCCCTGGGCCTTGAGGTG